CCCCCGCGCCCCCCCCCCCCCGCTCCCGGGGGGGGGGGCTGCGGCCCCCGAGCAGCCGCCTGCAGCCCCATCGTACCTTGTCCAGCCTCAGGCAGCAGAAAGGGGCTTTCTCGGGTAAAAGGTGGCACAGAGTCGGGGAGCTGCCGATGTAGGGGGAGTTCGGTGGGTAGCCCTTCACGTACCTGCAGCAGAGAGAAAATCCAGCAGTGTGAGGACATGGGGAGAGCTTTCCACCTAGACAACTCCCAGACGTTGGGAAAAACATTTAAAAGCAGCAGGCCCAGGGTCAAGCACATCACTGGCAAACGCTTTGCAAAACTCTCCCGCAGCAGCTGGAAATTTTTCAAAATACACATATTTAGGAATAGTTTTTGCTATGCAAAGGGTCATGAGATTGCGAATAGGCAATGTTCCAAGCACGGGTGGAGAAGGCAGCAGATAGGACCATCAAGCGCAGTTGAAGGGAGACAGGGTAGCGAGCGCCAGGGGAGGGGGGCGATGCTGAGCCATATAAAGAAGCAAAAAAACCTCATGGTCCATTTTTAGAGTGTGTTTTGGTGAACAGATATTTAAAAAATTACCATTTGTGTTTTTGATGGAACCAGAAGCAGAAATTTCATTTAAAGAGCAGCTAAAAGTGGACATGAATTAAAAGCCAATTGGTAAGAGTTTGCAGATACTCGGTAAGCTCCCCACATCACCGTGACAGCATCCAAACAGGTAACCAGTAAAGCGAGTGCTTCTCTGGCTGTCATAAATTAACAGCTTTAAAGCTGCAGGAAATATTTATTTTGTATTTTTTATTTATGTGCAACAGAGAATAGAATCCCCTTCATGTTGGTGAGTGAAGGGAGGCGAGAGGACTGACGGAACAACCCTGCCCGTCCCCAGCAGCGTCTAGCTCGGTCCAACTTCTCTGATACCCAGAGGAGACTTCTCCAAAGCAGCCCAAAAGGCTAACGGCCAAGTGGCGATTGCCCATGTTACAGATGTTGGTGCGCTCAGAAAAAGCCAAGAGGGGCTCAGCCTGAGCATCCCTCAGGCACCATTGAACGCCCGTCATTACAACGGTCCCCATCTCTCTGATATGAGGGACGGCTTGACCAAAGGTGGGCGACTCACTCCACAACCGCCGAGCCCTCCTCATCCGACTGCGTCATCTCGTCTTCCGACTGGTCGCTGAGCAGGTCGCAGGGCAGCAAGGACGAGGTGTCGGCCAGCTCGAGGACCGGGGGGGGGTGGGTGGCGGGGCCGGCGGTTGCCCGAGCCGTTCTCTGCCGGCAGTGCCAGCTTGCTGCTGTTAGCGGGGCGGCACTCTGTGTTTTGCAGGTCCATGGCTACTGTACCTGGACACGGTGGGGAAGGAAGCACAGCAAACATGCTATAAGGAGGTGAAGAGAGTTGCGTCAGCAAAGCATCATGCCCTTGAGCCCCGCACGGGGACGAGGTGGAGCAGGCGGGGCCGTGCATCGTGCCTGTTAAATACAACCCAGATGAAGCTAAACCATTCATGGGCACGGGGAGTGCAGGCAAAGCACCCACCAGCGACCTCCGCCCCGGCATTGCTGCGTGGAGCATCTCCCCGGAGGCACAACTCAGCTGCTCCCACGGTGGGTGCGGGCTGCTGGCCCCGGGGAGCAGCACTCTCCCTGTCCCCCAGCTGTGGCCACCTCCTGCTGAGGCTCTCATCTGAGTCTTGGCCAAACAGTGACTTTTAGACGGTCAGGAACGCGGGGAGTTTCCCAGCTCACAAAGCCCTGGTGCTGGGCTCGCTGGGCACCACTGCCCTGCTTGCACTCATGCGATTTCTCTCCCTCTCATTTCTCTTTGCCAAAGGTCCCTCTGCGAACAAGCCACGTAACGAGAACACTGACAAATGCTGTTCAGCAAAGTGCTTTGCGGCTTGCTGGGGGATAATCTATGCAAATTGCTGCTTGTGAGTACAAATGCATAAATTATTTGCCTGAAATATAATCTGCTCGCGTAGCGCAGCCTCCCCAAAACTTGCTCTCCCCAGATACAAGCTGGAAGTAATGACTCATGGTATTTTTTATTTGCGAAAATGCACCACTCACTGCAGAGCAAACTATGCTCTTCATTGGGCTGTGAATCATAAACGTGATTTAGGATGCAGCCAACAGCATTTATTCTTCCAGCCAGGGCTTGAGGGATTTATGCAAATGCCGTTAACGACAATGGACATCACAAGCTTTAATAATGATATTTGAGCTTGCTGAGAGCACCCAGGGCACAAGGAGCAGTGTGTATTTTACTGGTGAGGCGACTGGGACAAGGGATGGAAAGGGATTTTCAGTGGCTCCCAGCAACACCCAGGTGGGGGGCATGGCAAGGAGTTTGCAAAAAAGCAAAATAAAACAAAACCTAGGAAAGGAGATTAAACCAAACCTGGGGAAGGAGCCGGAACGGCGTGTGCAGGATCCTACCCTGCCCTCCCGGGGAGCCCCGCTGCCTCCCTGCCCCACCGAAGCCCCACCAACTCACCCATGCTGGCGATGATGCTGTGCACAGGCAGGCGGGACGGGCCATCGTAGGTGCCTCTCCCCGCAAAGCCCTTCTTCTTCTGCTTCTCCTCCTGCTTGAAGATGAAGGCTGAATTCTCCTCCTTGGTGATGTTGATGTAGAAGCAGGTGTCGGACGCTGCCATGATGTGCCGCGGGCCAGGGTTCAGCAGGATGCTCTTGTTCTCCTCCCTCCGGATGCCAATCAGGCAGACGCCATACCTGTGCCGGGAGCGCGACGTGGGCATTCACAGCTGGAGAAAAGTCCCTTTGGGGCTTTGTCCCTGCACAAAGGACCTCACAGCACCTTCCAGCCCCAGCCCCGACCCCCCAGGGACGCAGACTGGCAGATACGCCCTGCCCATCCCTGCCCGTCGCCCCCCTGCCCTCACTTCTTGTGCGCATGGAAGGCGGCGTAAGTGAAGCTCTTCCCCTCGTACTCCATGAAGAACTTGCTGTCGCCCATCCGGATGTGGTAGACCTCGTTGCCCGCGCCGCCCCCGTACATCCGCTGCCACTGTTCCGGGGACTCCTGGCCTTCCCTGCAACGACAGCAGCAGCGTGCTGGGACAGGACCCCCCCTGTGGTGCTGGGACAGGACCCCTCCATTGTGCCGGGATGGGACCCCGCCGGTGCCAGGACGGGACCCTTCCCCAGTGCCGGGATGGGACCCCCCCAGGTGCCGGCACAGACCCTGGCACGCCAGCCAGCTCCCGGAGCAGAGCCGCACGGCGGGAGTGCTAATAAGCGCTGAAGCTGCCATCTAGAACAACAGGGGTGAGGTTATGGCAGTGCATTTCCACGAGCTGTCAGTGTTCGCAGGCTGAGGACGAGCTCGTATTAATTTCTGATTTTAAGTGCCTTTTTATTTAACGAAAGCTCCCGGGGGGCGCAGAGGCAGGGTTCAGAGCCCATGTTGGCAAACAGCTCTGAGTGTGGGGCCAGAGCCCTCTGGGAAGGATGTTTCATAACTCTTTTGATGTCACATTACCCAAAATTCAGACATTTCTGGATGGCCAAGGGGCATGGGACTCACACCACCGCTTTACTGGGCTGGCAGAGCTCCTTCCAGCTGTGCTTTATATAAACCCGCCAAACAGTCTGCAGGGTCCGGGTTTGCACGGGCTGTGAATTAACCTTCCCTCCAGCGGGACCATGCCAGTATAAAGAAGACAGTTTTATTCCCAGTCTCTGGAAAGATGGTGTTGGCCAGCCCATCTGCACTGGTGTTTTCCCCCTACATTACTGGCTTTTCCTCCCAACCTGGCTGGGAGTCCCA